TTACAGAAAAGGTACAAATCCCAAAAGTAACTTTTCTAAATTGTGGAATTAAAAAAGTAAGAGGAAGTGAAAAGCATTCATGCAGCAGAGGAGCTCCCTTCACATCTGGAAGCACACAGATGCATCTCCACCTGTAGCCCTGCCCTGGGAGAAGGGGTCATGGATGCTACAGCTCACTTTGGCAGGCAGTGCTGGTTGAAAGAGCTGCAGAAATGCTGCCTTAAACTAGTGTGGGTACTCACTATATGTGAGCTGCAGCTCCTCACAAGCTCAAATCAAGTTTCACGGTAACTACCTGCAGAACTGAAAATAGTGAATCAATGTTGTCACAAGCAATTGAAACTTAACAGAGCTCAGTTTCTCCTCTACCCAAGTTCTGTGTTCTGCTTTGTAGCACATTCTGTTACAGTTTATGGCAAATGTTCACAGTGAATTGTTTTGAGCTCAGGTGGCAGTGGATATGTGTTTTCTTTTGAGATAAAATCAAGCTGTATAATTTCTGAACAGGAAATACTGTTGCTTAATGGATATTGCCCTCTCTAATCTGTAGTATCAATGCAAAGTGATTGTGAGGTGGATATAAACCTGCTCTGCCTGAACTGGGAACTGTTCATTTTTATACTGTTCTTAGATGCTGTAAACATGTATTATCACACCAAATTATGTTCAGTATAATTATCAAATAGTATCAGATTTGCCAGCATACTTAGAATGCTGTTTTGAAAAGAATTATTCTGTAGGGAGACTTATGCATGAATTGCTTGTGAATTGCTTGTGTCTAGATATAATACAATATGTAACATATAATATAATTACATATAAAACTTATTTTGTAAATTTCTTTGTATTAGTAATTTTGTGTATTTGTCTTGTGTTGTATTTATACTTTGAGATACTTGACAGAGAGTGTACAGCAAATTTCAGGTGGATTTCTTGCAGAGAAATACATAACAGGCATCAAAGCTTTGTAGAAAAGTATGCTTAGAACAAGTTTTTAAATGACAAGAGACTATCTAAGCAACCCTAGTACATGTATGTTCAAGAAGAACTCCTTAGTGAAAAGCCTAAGTCTGCTGAAAAGAGCTTTGCAGGTCTCCCCTGCACAGCTGGGCTCCTGGGGGCTTCCAGATGCCTGCTGGAATTTGGTGCTGAGGGGTCCCAGGTAAAGACCAGGAAAATTTGCCTGGTTTTTAAGGTGCAAGAACACTGGAGTGCTATAAATACTCAATTTATTTGCCAAATCCTTAGTTAAAAAAAAAAAAATGAAAAAAAAGAAGAAAAAAAGGAATATTCAACTGTGAAAGGAGATGGAACCTAGGCTTTAAAAAAACACTTTTTGCCAGGTAAATGAGTAAAGGAGATCAGAAGTTACTGTACTGTTGGAAGTGTGGGCTTGAACTTGGGCAAGAGCCCATGTTAAATGTGAATTGGAGACATTACCTTGCCTTGTGATACAAAAGAGCAGTAGGGGAAAAAAAGGAATATCTGGAGTGGCATGTGTTTTATAGCTACTGTCCATCTAAATGGCAAATTTCACTTCCTTTTCCAATGGAAAGAAAGAAGGAAAAAGGTGAAGAACCCACTGTTGCAACCTTCTTTTTGTAAAATGTTGTGACTGAGCACATTCCTATACTGGAGTTATTCTATTTGGGAGCATTTGTGTAATATCCAGTATGTCACTCCATCCATGTCTCTTCTCAGCAGAGATGAATTCTTCCTGAAGTTTTGTAAAGATAAGTCAAGACTGGCACTGGCTCATGCCAGAGGTCATTTTCAAGGACATGAGTTGGAAAAATATACACAAAAAATGTTTTCTTCTGCAAGTGAGATACTGATTTTCTTGTCAGCTTCAGAGTAGAGGTGAATTGGTTCCCTGTGCCTGAATTTGCTTCAGTTGCTCTCAATGATGTGAGGAGAACAGAAGTGAACCCAAAACTGCCCATAGCAAAATCTGTTAGAGAGTTATTCAACCAGGATATCTTTTGCTCTGAGATTTGCTTTGATAAGCCAATGCAAAAAAAAAAAGGGCCAGATAAAAATGAGGTTTAAAAGCAAGTGCTGTTGGACATTCACAAGTCTCAAATGGTGTGTTATGGTCTCATGGGCGGTTCAACTTTTCCTCCAGGGTTAAAAGCATGAGGAGCTGGTTGCCGCCTTGGCTGGAAGGTTACTATGGCTTCATAATTAGTTTTGCACCAAGTTCTGCCCTGAACTGCATTGCTAAAATTCCTATAACTTCATTAGGGTTGACTGGGTTTAACTAAGGCATTATTTGCCCTAGGATTACCTGCAGTCAAAAATTTGCTGAATGTTGGGTGTTCAGTAATTAAAGATGTGTTTACAGGAAACAATACAGGCAGAAGGGCAGAAGAACAGCAGTTACCAAATAAAAGATGTGGCCACATGAAAAAGAGGAGAGGATTGTGAAGAAAATTCAGTGTTATGGGAGCAGGTGAAGCAATTCTGAGCTTTTCAGGAGCCAACACTATGGTTGGGAGAGCAGCTTGGGGCTGCCCTTTCACTTGGTAATATTGCTGATCCCAAATGAATCCTCTGGAGAGCACAAGATGATGTTTTTGTGTATCTGTCACTTGCATTCCCTAGGCCACCAAGGACATGGCGAGCAGCCTGCCAGTGTCTGAGGGGACTACAAGGAAAACAGAGAGGGGCTCTTATTTGGGAACTATAGCGACAGGACGGGGGGAATGGCTTCAAACTGAAAGGGGTAGGTTTAGATTAGACATTGGGAAGAAAATATCTACTTTGAGGGTTGTGAGGCACTGGCACAGAGAAGTTGTGGATGCCCCATTCCTGGAAATGTCCAAGGCCAGGCTGAATGGGGCTTGAAGCAACCTGGTCGAGTGGAAGGCATCCCTTACCATGGCAAGGGGGTTGGAACTAAACAGTCTTTAGTTCCCTTCCAGCCCAAACCATTCTGTGATTTTATGACTGTTGCTGCCTCTTTCTGTCCCTGCTGTTCCAGCAGCTCTTCTGATGTACCAAGCTGCTGGAGACAAGCCCTGCTGGCAGACATGCTACCCCTGTGCATTGTGGCCACTTCCTCTCCCTCCTTTCCTTCCCCTTCCCCTTCCCCTTCCCCTTCCCCTCCCTTTCCTTTCCTTTCCTTTCCTTTCCTTTCCTTTCCTTTCCTTTCCTTTCCTTTCCTTTCC